ATTAACTAATTCGGTTAGAAAATAACTTCTTAACTAATCAATTAACAAACTGATTATGCTAGCTCATCACTAATCCAGCTCAGCAATGATAAATGTTCCTCCCCTCTCTGCAAAACATCCTTGTCCTCAAGGATGAAAATCAGGAAACCTTGCGAACAAATCATCATAGTCCTCCCAAGTTGCTTCCTCCTTAGTGTGATGCTTGTTTATCCTTCAACATTCGATCTTCCTTCTCTCTCCTTCTCAATTCCTATAAAAAATATTGGAGTAAATAGACCATACCCGGTGGGTGTTGGCCAAAGGCCCTCTGATTCCTAAGTTAGTTCGAGTGTTTGTAGGAAAACAATAGCTAAGCAAAGGGTACGGAGTTGTATGTATGGTGTGAACTGGGCCGCCGGAGCCGTGTGTGGTGGCCGGAGATGTGTGGAGAAAATATGGAGAGTGGAGAGTGGAGAGTGGAGAGAGAGCTTCGGATATTTTTCTCGGGTATTAGGAGTAGGTTTAGATGTACCTTGAATGATGAATGAAGTCGTCTATTTATAAGAGCCTCAGGGCTATGGTTTCGTAGAGAATAAACTCTTATTGTAATGAGTTTATTCTTTACCCAAATTCGTAGGGATCGAGTTGAACTTGATTATATCTCTTTATTGAAGATAATATCTGAATTAATGATATAATCTCTTTTTATTAGGATAATATCTTAATTAATGATATTATCTTCTCTTTATTAGGATAATATCTGAATTAATGATATTATCTTATTAAATAGAGATAATATCATACTAATTCAAATATTATCCCTATTAATTAATTGGCCAAGTAAATTGGTTCAATTAATTAATTGAAGAGATAATCTTCTTCTCCACGTGGCATGCCATGATTGGAGACGAAAATATTTGCTCTCACAATGCTACCACAAGACCATGACTTGAGTGCCTGCTGCATTGCCCTTCTTAACAAGTCTTCTTTCCAAAATAGCTAAATGATGGTTTTGTAAGATGCCTGATGTGATTAATTGCAAGTGGACAATATCGCTCAAATTAATATAGTAGTAAGTAGAATATCGTTCCAACAGGGATCAAGTAATCTATTAAATACTAGAGTGATTTATTTCTAATTATATTTAAATTAAACAAAAAGAGAATTATGATGACTAAATCTAATTAAGCAAGTAAAATAAATTGAGATCAAGTAAATAATGTAAAAGATGAAAACAAGGATGATAAAGCACTAGGCACCAATTTCACCTAGCTAATCCCACCCAAATCCTCTAGCTTGTTAATTCTAATTACCTAACATGTTGATAATCGTTTTCCCTTTCCTCACCAATACTCTCTTCTGAGTTATATTAGTTGTACTCCTTACCATCAACCCACTCTATTCATTGTTATGGATTTAGATAGCTAAGAACCCATTAAGATTTGTGGAAAACAATAAAGATTACACAAACCATAACCTAGTCTTCCGAGTTGGCTATGTAATTTATGGTACTTGTTACTAGAAGCTCTTTATTAGGAATCCCCTTCCGGTCTCAACCTAATTCTTCCAATCATGCAATTAGTGGCCAATTAATTGAAAGGATTAAGAACGGTAACAAGCACTCAACATGTATAGATAAATAAAATTAAGAATATCAAAGAATTTGAGTATTCATAGTTAGGCTACATCGTAGCCCTAGTTAAAGAAATTAGTTCATGAAGGACTTATTGAGAATCATGATGGTTGATGAAGACATGGAAGACACCGAATTCTCCAAGTAGAATGCCAAGGTTGCGCAAACTTTCTTCGTATTCTCCTCTGGATATTTCGGCTATAAGTATGAATATGTAAGATGATGGATAATGGAGGATGGAGAATGATGGGTCCTTTGAACAATGACCTAAACTTCCTATTTATAAGACTCCTAGAAATCCTATCTAAGGTATAATTACAATTGTTATAAAAGTAGGATTCCTTATAAAATAGGGTCTTCTTTATTTCTCCTTGTTTGACTTGATAAGACTCCAATCTTCATCTTCTTGCCCTTTTTAGCACACTTTCTCCTATTTCCACAATTCCTTCACAAATCTCACAAAACCAATTAAAACAACCAATTTAATCAAAGGAAATGAACAAATAAATAAGTAAAGGAGGCATACAATATATAAAAATATAGGCTTATCAATGCCCTCATCAGTAATAACATGAAGTGACAAAGAAGTAGACACAGTTGTACCAAGATGCTTCTTCAAACAAGAAACATGGAAAACTAGATGAAGTTTTGAAGTTGGAGGCAGCTACAGGCCCAACCTTGTCCAAAATTTCATAAGGACCATAGAATTTAGGCTGCAATTTATGGAAGGGATGAGAAGCTAAGGACTTGTGGTGATACAGGACTAATCGAAGATAAACAAGATCTCCCACAGCAAATGCTCTTTCAGTTCAATGCTTGTTAGCTTGGACTTTCATTCGATTTTGTGCAGCGGCAAGGTTAGTCTTAGTAAAGAGAGAATTTGATCCCTAGGAACATTCGGGTCGGGAATTGGAGGTTGTGGGCCTCGCGAGCCCAATTGGTCAAATTCTGCGATAGGGGTCAAATAGACCACTGGATTGTGATGAGACTTCTAGGATGGGCACTTCAACATAAGCACAAAAAACGAAGGACAAAATTTGCCACAGCAGTAGGATCTTTTCTGAAGTGGTTAGTCAGAACACGCTTTAGTCTAATCAAAACCCTTGATGCTATAATGAGTATTTAGCATTAGTGCTAATATATTCTCTGATGCTATTAAAGGTTTAGGCATCGGAAGTTAATGATCTTTTGGCACATGGTAACAACTTACGCATCGGCTATTATGTAAACAGCGAAGTCGTAAATAATCTTTAGCAATGGATAATATCCAAAGTGTATGACTATATCGTATGGATGGGTTCCCAATACTTTGGTTCTTAGGTACCTTTAGCAACAGATATTATCCGAAGCTAAAAGTCAATTTTCACATAGTGATTGGCATAGTGAATTTACAGTAACACTGCAAGGAAAATCCCTTTTAGCGACGAAACAGAATGGTCACTATAACACCAAATTTCGTCGCCAAATACAAATAGCGACGAATATTTTTGGTCACCAAGGTCGTCGTGGAAAGCTCGTGGCTAAAAGATACAATGCGACGAAATACCATTTCGTCGCTAAAAGATTTTGGCGACCAAATGGGTTGTCGCTAAATAGCTCTAAGTTGGTCGCCTATAGAGAGGGAGTTGCCGCCAAAATACCAAAAATGCCCGCGAACATGGAATTATTTGGCGACGAAATAAATGTTTGGTTGCCTGAATATTTCAGCGACGAATTTTTTGGTCGGGAAAGATGTAGTTTATTTGTAGCATATGGTAGTTGGTTTGGTTATTTTCATAATGGGCGACAAAACAAATTGGTCTCCAAAACTATAGATATTGGTATTATTTGATGGAGCGACGAAAACTAATTCGTCGCCAAGATGTGTATTTATTTATTTTAAATAATTATTTATATTTCAATCTTTTGTAACAGAATATTATTTAGTCCATAAAGTTTTTGAAAAACAGTAAATAGATGAAATTAATAGAAATAGGATAATTACTATTCAAAAAGATACTAGTTGTTTAAGTACACATTAGTGTATTCTAGATACAAAAGCCCCCAAGGTAGATATGCTAGATACAAAAACCATCAAGTAGCTAGATACAGAAGCCACATAGAACCCCCAAGGTAGGCTAGATACAAAAACCATTAAGTAGCTAGATACAGAGGCCCCATAGAACCCCCAAGGTAGGCTAGATACAAAAACCATCAAGTATGTAGATGTACACACAACCTAATGACTATTTCCAATATCATCAAGATCTTCATAAACATTACGTGAACCACCACTATTACCTTGATCATCATGACAAGGAGAATCACCAACATGCTGGGATGGAACAAATAAATGTGAGGGTAGAGGACCATCATGGGTTCGCATCCACTCAATGACATCCAAAAGTTTACCCACTGTGCCCTGAAGCTCACTTAATGTGCCTTTCAACTCACCAACTGTGCTTTGAAGTTCCTCAACCTTTTGCTCTGTAGCACAAGAAGAGGCAAATCCACAACTATGCGAGCTCTCCACTCGGAGACTAGAACCCAAGCCTCGAATCCTCTTGCCCTTTGCAACCCCAAGTTCTCCAGTCATGATCTCTAACTGTTGTGGGATAGGGAGTGAGACTTGATCTAGTGGAGTTCCTGAACTCTCAGCCACTTGTTGCTTGGCTTTCTCATACTCTTCATTCATCTTCTTCTACAAAAAGAAGCAAAATATAGATATGTCAATATATATATAAATGCATAAAAAGAATGAAGTAAATGGGATGCCAGTACGACCAATTGTGTTCATAAACTAGCAATGCCAATTATCCTTAATCAAACAGTCACAATAAATAAATAAAAAATCAACTTGAAGCAAATAATAAAGGAAAAGGCACATAAAAAATGGAATAGATCTCTTCGGATATGCAGATTGCAGAAAGTTAGAAAATACTCACAGATCTTATAAGATCTTTTTGAGCATCTCCTGAAAGCAACAACAATACAAACAAGAAAATTCCAAAAACAGGGATTATAAATATTTGCCCAGCAACATGGCCCCTTATAATTGGGTCTAAATTTTAACTTCTAAGAGCACAATGGGTTATTAGAACTGAATATGTTAAATAGGTGTTTGGAATTGGGCCTCCAAAGAGGAAGAGAAGTACAACTGCAGCAGCTCTGTTTCAAAACGATCTTAGCATGCACTTTTTTTGGTCGTCAATATATAAGATCTGGAAAATTTAGAAAACTCAGACACACATCTTCATTGTGTTTCTAATTAATTAGTTCTATTGCAATGGATAAAGCCTTTATATGATGCTAAAACCAAAGTACACAATTAGCATCTAAAATAATGGGCCGTCAAAAACTTGCATGACCAGTTGACTGATCTTTTGGATTGCAGATTATGCAAGTCAATAGTTAATTGTCAGCAGGTTTATGTATTCCTTACCCCTTTAATTTCAGCAGCCTCATTGATCCACATGCTCTTACCCTTAAGCATATGCATGTTGTTCCAATTGCTAATGTATGTAGGATTTTCACCCTTCTACATTTTCCCAACAAAAGAAAATTAGAAATACTTGAAATTATTACAATATAATAAATAAATAAAGATTTAAAGTGACCAAAAATTATAAACCTCTCTAGCAGCTTCCATATGTTTTAGGAAAGGACGTGACCCCCCTGTATGATCAAACTCTTTCTTTTTTCTGTTCTCAGCATTGGTCTTGCAGCGTTTCTGTTTTTATTAAATACATGAATTGTTATTTTTTTTTCTATTTGATACTTAGAATAAGTTCCCAATCAAAAAAATGAAAACAGCAGATGCTATCATACATTAGATACCTAATATTGCTCATTTGTGTACAACGTATCAACCAAATAATGCCACTCTTCTAGAGTCCTTCGAGTACCAAAGATCTTTTCAGGGGGAGGTGTTTCTCGTGCAAGAGCAGGGTCAGAAGCATATTGCTTATAGTGTCTGTGGAGCTTTGCTTTCCATTCTTTATAAGTTGAGTGCATATGGTCATTAATAAATTTCCATATATATCCGGATCCGTTAAGTCCACATCAAACATGAACTAATATCAATTAACCATAAACAAAACAAGTATTAGTTATAATTTTTCAATGCAAATAGAAACATTGAAGGACAAATTTTTCAGTTCCCCCTAGAATACAATGAAGAATTGAAATAAAAAGAGAGTTAAATGAACAAAATTAAATTATAATCAACGAAGAATTAGATAAGATTACCTGCAATCCCAGTGCCATATCTTTCTTCATCTCCAAGCTCACTTTTTTCATCCCTAAAACATTCAATGGAGCTTTATTGCGAGTGATTAACCCAATCTCAGAGACAAACAGTTTTTGAGCCTCAATAGTCGCCACCAATTTCTGGGATGGATCCATCCGTATTGGAATCAAACTCTTCCTCTTTTTCACAACATCACAAGTGCCAGCCCCCACAGTTCGGCCACGAGTGTTCTTCCTCTGTGAAGAAGTTTGAGTATGCGTTCCCTCATCTAGAGACAAAAATTCAAAAAAACAGTAACTAGAGTGCACCAAATAAAGGTATAAAAATTAAAGGCACAAAATATGGTATCAGTTACCCTGTTGGTGGGAACCCCCTCCTGAGGCTGATGAAGTACCTTGTTGTGGCTGAGTTGATTGCTGTTGTGGCAGCTGACATGGTTGCTCAAGTGGCTGTGGTGGTAGTAGAGTTGAAGTTTTCTTCTTATTGTTATTGTTGCTTAAGGTAGCAGCCCTCGTAAGTGTCATTCTACACTTACAAACACATAAACAAAGAGAGAATACAACAATATACTACCAGATCATTCCTTGAAAAAATAAACATAAATTATTGAATATCATACTTTAGCTGTAATGACATTGATTCTCGTCACAAACGTGCTTGAGATAACACTACTACAAAAAAGGAAAAACACGACGGGAATTCACCGTCGTGTATTCAGTTTTCAAATGGTCGTGGAATCCACCGACATCTTTTCCATAACAAAACCACGACAGTAAATACCCGTCATTGTTAAAACAAAAAACGTCATCAACAAATAAAAACCGACGTCTTTCTACTGCAAAAAGACATTAAAAAAAACAGTTGATGATGAGAATAAACGACCAACTCTAACAAAAAAACGTCATTAAAAAGGAAACATATGACATATATTAACAGAACATGGCCGCAAGATAAACATACAACGACGAGAACTAAAACTCAACGCCGTTAAATAAACCTTTAAGGACAAATAGAAATATGACGTCTTTAAATACATAATAGACGACGTTATTGACACCTACTACGTCACAACATTTCCAACAACCCTCTTAAAATAAATTTTCCACTTCGATTTTTCTATGAATGATGACGTGGAAATAGATGTCAGGGTCATTACTTACGATGCATGTATGTACAGAGACGACGTTGAAATAAATAAACAACGTCGGTTTCCAAATAAATGAGAGCTGTATTACATAATTTATACATCATATTTTGAAATATAATCGTTGTGTAATGACTTTGAAACGGCATAGTTTCTCATTCCACCGCCGTGTAAAATAATTTTAACGACAGGATCTGAAAATAAACGACGTGGAAAAAATGATGGGGTCATTAATTACGACACATTAATTTATAAAGATGACGTTGTCGTCTATATACAACGTCGTTACCATGAAAAAGACCGCCGTGTTTCATAATTTATACGTCTTCATTAAAAAAATTAACGTCGTCTAATTCATATATCTTAACGTCGACAAATTTACCAATGGACTTCAAATACCATCGTGAATTCATCCTTTTCCACTTTGTTTATGAAAGAACATGCGACGTGGTAAATTAATGACGACGTCGTCTTTTGTAACGTTCAGGTTAAAAATCTCATCTTTTAGACGTCGGTATTATGGGATTGGAGTCGTGTTATTTTGAATTACATGGCGGTTCTTTATGCTTGTCCGACGTGTTATCCTAGATAACTGTTTCACAATAGCGTCGTGGTTCTTCATTGTTACGTTGCTTTAAGACGTCGGTAAATATATTGCGGTCGTTGAATGCTCCAAAACGTCGTTTTTTATTAGAACAGACGTTTGTTTTTCACATTTTTATCAAGACCGTCGTGTTTGTAATCTGGAACCAGTAATTTTTGTACTAATTGTTTTGTGGCCAAAACCTGTATAATGAAAGTGAAGAAATCACATTACAATATATTACAAAATTAATGTCATACACTGCCAATTACATAAAGCATCATTCAATCCATATATCTTCACACCCATCTCGAATATTTTGACTCCCTAATCACCCACCACTTCATCAAATGTGTCAACATTTGGCATCCCTCTAGTAAATGGCTTACACTCAATTCTCACATCACCTAAGACATCATCACCAATAACAACATTATATTCTCTATTAGGCATTGATAACACTACCGACCAACCACGATGCATCGGGTCGTCAACAAAAAATACTTGTTTGACTTGAGAAGCCAAAACAAATTGGTCATTCCTATGTCCAATTTTACTCAAATCTACAAGGGTAAATCCAAGTTCGTCCACTACAAGACCAGAAGTACTATCTATCCAATCACACCTAAAGACTGGGATTGTAAACTTTTGGTAGTCAAGGTCCCAAATTTCTTGAATGACACCATAGAAACCCATATTTGAGATAATTGGGTTTTTATCCTTGGCACTAGCAACTTGCATAGTATGTGCAAGTAAATAAACTCCACTATTTGAGTTGTCCGCACATCATCTTGTGCCTTGATGTTGAATTTAATACCTTTAATAAGATAGCTCCTATATAATGGCACTGCCATGTTTGGACCAGCTGCTAGCCACCTTAAATTTTCTGATAAGCCATAATTGTCTTCTTCATTAAGTTCACTTTGAACCTGCAAATTAATCATAACTTAATTCAATCTAACATAGAAAGAAGAAAATTAAAAGTCCCAATATGTTATTCAATAACATTTACCTTGAAGCGTAGCCATTGAATGAAAGTGCTATTGTGCTTATCCTGCAGCCACTTTGTTCTCTTTCTAAATTTTGGATAAGCGGTCTTGATGTGGATCATATGTTGCCTACATGACACAAAAAATTCAAGCATTACGGTCCCAAACATATAAGATAAACATAAGAAATAATTTAAAATGGAAACTTAAAGAATAAAACTCATACATACTCGATATAAGGTAGGACTTCCTCCGTATTCTCCAAGACATATAGATGTGCTTGGTTCAACAGGTCCCGATCAACTACGCTCACTGTGCAACCTGATAATGGCTTTGAAACTCCCATCTTTTGGCTTGAAGGCACTCCAACTGTACTAACATCAGATAAATGCTCGGTACAAAACTCTATAGCTTCTTCAGCTATATACCGCTCAGCAATGCAACCTTCGGGACGAGTACGATTCTGAACATACCCCTTTAGCACTTTCATATATCTTTCAAACGGATACATCCATCTAAAATATACTGGCCCACATAGACGAACTTCTCTGACAAGATGTACTACTAGATGAACCATGATATCAAAGAATGAAGGGGGAAAGTACTTCTCAAGCAAACACAAAGTAACTACTACATCTTCTTCCAACTTATCTAACTTGGAAACATCAACAGTCTTTGCACATATAGCATTGAAGAAGAAGCACAAACGAGTTATTGCATTCCTTGCATGCTTCTCCAAAACAGAACGAATTGCCACAGGGAGCAATTGTTGCATTAAGGTATGACAATCATGTGATTTAAGGCCAAGAAGTCTTGAATCTTGTAAAGATACAAGATTTTTTATATTTGAAGAATAACCTTCAGGGACCTTCATACCATAGAAAGAATTGCAAACCTCTCTCTTCTCTGCTCTTGATAAATTCCAAGGCCCGGGAGGCAAACGAGTACGTCTTTCTCCATACTCCGGTTGCAAATCAGTTTTGACCCCCATGTTCAATAAATCTAATCGAGCAGCAATCCCATCTTTATTTTTTCCAAGGATCTCCATCAATGTACCAATGATACTATTGCAAACATTCTTCTCAATGTGCATAACATCTAGGACATGCCTCACAGGAAGGTATTTCCAATACTCGAGATCAAAGAATATTGATTTCTTCTTCCAACAAACTGTGTCACCATCTTCAACCATATGCAACACTTCTTCTCCGGTTAATGGCTCGGGAGGCATGCAATATTCAGGTTTCCCATTAAAAGCTGCACGTTGCCTCCTATATGGATGATTGATTGGTAACCATTTTCTATGCCCAATGTAACAAATTTTGTGGCCATTTTTCAACCTGTGACTAGGTGTATCATCGCCGCATATTGGACAAGCTTTATATCCTTTAACAACACAACCAGATAAGTTTCCATAGGCGGGGAAATCATTAATTGTCCACATTAATGCAGCTCTGAGTGTAAATTATTCTCCATTATGTGCATCATACACTCCTCCAATCACATCCCACAAAGATTTTAAATCATCAATCAAAGGCTCCAAGTAGACGTCTATATCATTTCCGGGCTGTTTAGGACCGGAAATCAATAAGGTCAACATCATGAACTTTCGTTTCATGCACAGCCATGGAGGGAGATTATATGTAACTAAGATAACTGGCCAGCAACTATATCTGCTACTTAGAGAACTGTGAGGATTGAATCCATCAGATGAAAGAGCCAATCTCAAGTTTCTCGGCTCATTACCAAACTCGGGCCATTTATCATCAAGAAGTTTCCAAGACGGGGAATCCGCCGGATGAGACATCTGACCGTTAATTGATTTTCTAGTAGCATGCCAAGTCAAACTCTTAGCTGTCTCATGTGATTGAAACATCCTTTTCAACCTTGGAATTGGAGGAAAATACCACACCACCTTCGCTAGCACACCCTCTTTCAAGATTGAATCTTTGCCTTCCTTCCACCTTGAGATACCACAAGTAGGACAATTAGTTGAATCCTCATACTCCTTTCTATACAAGATGCAATCATTGGGGCATGCGTGCATTTTCTCATAACTCAGCCCCAATGCACACAAAGTCTTTTTTGCCTCATACATAGAAGCCGGTATTGTATTTCCTTCTGGAAGCAAATCGCCTTGAAGTATCAATAATTCTGTAAAACAGACATCACTCATCCCATGTTTTGCCTTCAAATTATACAACTTCACTAATGCCGATAACTTCGTGTACTTTCTACAACCAGGGTACAATGGTTGATCTCCATCCCCAATCACATTGGCAAACTCATAAGGATCAGATCCAAAATCACCAAAATCATTATCATCCATCTCTATTTCTTCATACACAAAACTGTACCTACTATTGTCATCATCTTCTTCAACATTTCTACTAGCATTAGTAGTTGCTTCCCAAGGTTCTCCGTGAAATGTCCAATTCTTATAGCTTTGGTCAACTCTATTAAAGTATAAGTGATCCCTTATAATTCCAACCCCAAACAATTTCAAATTAACACATTTAACACATGGACAACGGATATGTGTTGTAGTTAGAAGATTTTCTACAGAAAAGTTCAAAAATGCTTCCACCCCTAACTCATATGCCTTCGATCTTCTATCCGAGTGCATCCATGACTTATCCATCTCCGACACTATACCCTATTATATATAATAAAGTGAAAAGACAAGCAATGACCATCACTATAGCAGATTATATAAAGTTCTAATAGCAAGTAATATACAACACAGATGACGGTTTTTAAATAAAAACATACGTATTTGACATATATAGACGACGGATTTTCAACAAACGTCGTCTAATTATAACCACGATGGTAGTTAAAGAACACCGTCGTGTATAAGTAATACAAACGACGGTTTATGAAAAAAACCGTCGTCGTATGCCTAAAAACGCATCGATATCCCAATTTATTTTCAAGATCCCAAAACTCTATTAAGAACACAACATATACATGAAACCAAGCATGAAACCAACATATACATGAAACCAAGCATGAAACCAACATATACATGAAACCAAGCATGAAACCAACATATACTAAGCATGAAAACAATAAATCCATTCCCAATTCAACATAACAGAGAGTGATTAAAAAATTAAATCCATTCCCAATTCAACATAACAGAGAGTGATTAAAAGATCCGACAAAATTAAATCCATTCCCTATTCAACATAACAGAGAGTGATCAAGAAAACATTAAACAGAAAATCCATGAACCCATACCTCCAACAACATTATTAACAGATCGCAAAACATATATCTAAAACCCTTTAACAAAACAACGTAATATCATTCAATGAATTTACAAAGGGAAGAGAGGGTTTGTACTTACAGGTTGGCAGAGCTCACAGATTATGACCTACTTGGATTTGACAGAGCCTGGAGAGCCCAACTTTGATTTAGAGATGAAGTGAGAGAGCGAAATGTTATGTTGCACGAAATCTGAAAATTTTAGGGTTCAGGGTTAGAAGTATAAAACTAAGAGCCAAATCTGAAAATTTTAGGTCCCCGCGAATATTTTTAGAAAGCGCGCTCTTTAAAACATCGACCGAAAAAAACAACCGTCGTTAAAAGTTCACATTAAACATGACGCTTATTACATTAAAGACGTCGTGGTAAAACTATGTATGACGCAAAATCAAACAGAAGTCGTCAAAACTATGAAAAACCATGGCAAAAGTTCTACCAAAACTGACGCAAATATAGTATTCCACGACTCAAACACTGAACATAACGCCGTTTATTTTGAAGAAACCACGTCGTCTATTGAACCAATAGGAGTTGACGTTGCATTTTTTGGATTTATTTTAAATTTATTTTGAATATTTTGAATTAAAAATAATAAAATATTCTTATATCAACAACAAACCACGTCGGGGTTAATTAATTAACGACGTTGTAAATAATAATAAACGACTCACCTGTAAAAAGGACGTCGTTTAAAAGAGAAACCATGGCGGATGTTTCACCATCCGACGTAAACTCTATATTCCACGACTCAATCACTGTCGTTAAAAGTAATACCCTAAACTTTAAACCCTAAATTATATATTTTTAAAATATAATTTTATAAAATTGTTTATGGTTTTACAGCCTAATATATAACAAACATAAACCCTAAACCCCAAAAATTATACTTTAACCCTAACAACCCTAAACCCCAAACCCTAAACCCTAAACCATCAAACTATAAGTGATGTTATGACTCATCAAAACAATTTTATTTTTGGTGGTCATTTTAAACTTTTATTACTCAAACTGCATTTTTTTGAGGTTTAGGGGGAAGAAAATATATCAATGACTTCATAGGAGTTGACGTTGCATTTTTTGATTTATTTTAAATTTATTTTGAATATTTTGAATTAAAAATAATAAAATATTCTTATATCAACAAAAAACCACGTCGGGGTTAAGTAATTAACGACGTTGTAAATAATAATAAACGACTCACTTGTAAAAAGGACGTCGTTTAAAAGAGAAACCATGGCGGATGTTTCACCATCCGACGTAAACTCAATATTCCACGACTCAATCACCGTCGTTAAAAGTAATACCCTAAACTTTAAACCCTAAATTATATATTTTTAAAATATAATTTTATAAAATTGTTTATGGTTTTACAGCCTAATATATAACAAACATAAACCCTAAACCCCAAAAATTATACTTTAACCCTAAACCCTAAACCATCAAACTATAAGTGATGTTATGACTCATCAAAACAATTTATTTTGGGTGGTCATTTTAAACTTTTATTACTCAAACTGCATTTTTTTGAGGTTTAGGGGGAAGAAAATATATCAATGACTTCATAGGAGTTGACGTTGCATTTTTTTGATTTATTTTAAATTTATTTTGAATATTTTGAATTAAAAATAATAAAATATTCTTATATCAACAACAAACCACGTCGGGGTTAAGTAATTAACGACGTTGTAAATAATAATAAACGACTCACTTGTAAAAAGAACGTCGTTTAAAAGAGAAACCATGGCGGATGTTTCACCATCCGACGTAAACTCAATATTCCACGACTCAATCACCGTCGTTAAAAAGTAATAACCTAAACCCTAAACTCTAAATTATATAATAAACGACTTACTTGTTCAAAGGACGTCGTTTAAAAGCGAAAACATGGCGAAATTTTCACTAAAACGACGTCGCATGGACGTACAAACGGTATATCACGACTTAAACAAAAAAGGTGTTGCCGTGTAATTTAATTACCACGTAATATCTGTCGTCTAAATATCATTTTACGTCGGTTTTTGACATAATTATGTCGTTGGAAAGTTATTACACGTCGGTTATGCAATTTGTTTTTTCTTTTAAATTATGAAAACCTCAACAAATTTTCAGGGAAAAAAAGGATGTATATTATAGACAAAATTTGTACATATAAAAATATCAAGTGTTCCAAAAATCCTCTACTCCACATGAAGGCAAACAAGATCTGCCCATTCATTCCGGACTTCATCAATGGCTGCTTGGGGGTATGGCGCTTGCTCTTTTCCCTTGGCAAACTGCAATCCATAAACAATGATTATTAAGCTTTACAAAATAAAAAGAAATTCAGTCACAGACGACGCTATTTTTCATAACCGACGTAGTATATCGATTCAACGACGGTAATTTTAAAGGACCGTCGTTGATAATACCAAAAACCACATAAAATGTTTCTGAAAATTTTCTTCTTACCTTCTTCTCAAACTCCAAGGAAGGATCCATGATGATGTCCCTCATGAAGCGCATCACATAATACCCGCATTCGACACTGCTGGGTTGCTTTGGTGTGCCTGGCAGAGTTTTCCAAATTGGTGCTTTACGGCCTGGTCTGCCTATGTGGGAATTATAAATTTTTAAAGCACTGTTCACGATGTTTTTGCCCTCCTCATCAACCACACGATTTCCAGGCAGAGGATCCAGAAAATAGACGGTTTCCCTCTTTGCTCTCACAATCAGCAAGACCCAATGACGGCTGCACAAAATTAACATAAAAAACGACGGTTAATATAAAAAGTCAGCACAAGAAAACAAACGACGGTTATTTATAAAAACCGACGTATTATACAGTTTCACACGACGAAATAACGTAGCAATCGACGTCATTATAAATTTATCACGACAGTAATTAACTACCGACGTGGTTAGTTGTTTCAAACGACTCAATAAATAAAGAACCGACGTGGTTAGATGTTTCAAACGACACAAAATTAGTTAAACAATTTTATACGCAATCAGTTAGTGAAAATCATACAAACAAAATCCTTTTAAGGAGACTAACCCTGGATTGTAAGGCATCATGAAAATCTGTTCACCATCTGTCTTCTGAAGACGACTGGCTACAATTCGTGATATGTCAGTTTGTGACCCAGCGTTGGCACTAACTTGAGCAGGGTCGATAAAGCCAACCATGCTGCACAT